CTCCTTGGTCGCTGGTTGCGTCTATGGTAGGTCCTACGTAAATATTGGCTGTCATTGTTTTAAACCTCTTGAGTACAGAGGCTTGGAATCATGGGTGGGGAGGGGCAGGAGGTGGCTCGGTTTTTAAGGAAGGCCCAGTTAAAAAGCAACTGTGGCAGTGCCCCCCTTGCCACCCCCGCTGGCCAGCGAGGTGGCATGAGCGCGAGGCCTAATGCATCTTCCTCTGGGCTGCGCTGGCTCCAGGGGTTGAACAACGCCGTGGCTCTGGACTTCGACTACAGGGAGCAGATGATCTACTGGACGGACGTCACCACGCAGGGCAGCATGATCCGCCGCATGCACATTAACGGGAGCAACGTCCAGGTGGGCGCTGGGCGCCAGGGGGTGCCCTCTTTGGGGGACCCGGCGGGGAGGGGCCGCTGTGGGGGTGGGGGCTCGCCTTCCCGGGGGAATGGGGTGGGGCTGCCAGGCAGGGCCATGCATACCCGGGACGGGGCAGGGTCTCTGGGTGGGGCCCGTGTCCCTGGGGAATGTGGCTGGGTCCCAAGGCAGACCCACAGTCCTGGGAGGCGGAGGGGGGACAGGGCAGGGTCTCTGGGCAGGAGCGGGGCGGGGTCCTCTCTGAACAGGCCCTGACTTGTCCCGTTCTCCCAGCAGGTCCTTCACCGCACCGGTCTCAGCAACCCCGACGGGCTGGCCGTGGACTGGGTGGGCGGGAACCTGTACTGGTGCGACAAGGGCAGGGACACCATCGAGGTGTCGAAGCTGAACGGGGCCTATCGCACGGTGCTGGTGAACTCGGGGCTGCGGGAGCCGCGGGCGCTGGTGGTGGACGTGCAGAATGGGTGAGGGGGCACGGCCAGGTCTCACTTTTCCCTTGTTCCCAGATGCAGGACGCTACTAGCTCCCTTCCGTGGGCTGGCGCATCAGCTCCTGCCCACGGCACCCCCAGAATTTCTGTTCTGAGCGGGGTGCCTGGAGTCAGGACTCCGGGGTTCTGTTCCCACTCCCAGCTCTGCCTCTTACACGCTGGGAAACCTCCCTGCCGCTTGGTGACTCGGTTTCCCCTCTTGTACGGGGACAGAAGGACGCCATAGCAGGGCTGTTGGTGCCGTTTCGGTTGACTCAGCCTCTCCCGTTGCTGTTCCCTTTGTGCCCCAGTTACCTGTACTGGACAGACTGGGGTGACCACTCCCTGATCGGCAAGATCGGCATGGACGGCACCAACCGGAGCGTCATCGTAGACACCAAGATCACCTGGCCCAACGGCCTCACCCTGGACTACATCAATGGCCGGATTTACTGGGCAGATGCCCGAGAGGACTACATTGAATTTGCCAGTCTGGACGGCTCCAACCGGCACATCGGTGAGGCCGGCCGGGAGCTGCAGCTTTCGGCCAAACACAAATGGTTTTAGCATGGGACTGGGAGCCAGGACTCCTGGGTTCTGATCCCAGCTCTGCTGCCGACTCCATCTGTGCCCTTGGGCAAATGACCTCCCTGTTGTTTCTTGCCTCGGTTTCCCTATTTGGGAACTGGGGATGAGCTGTACCTGCTGTGGGATTCACAGAGAGCCACGCTGCTGTCGCGCAAGGCAGGTGATCGTCCCCTGCTTTTTAGGAGTGCAGAGGGATAATTAACGCTGGTGAATCCAAGCTCACATATTAATATTAAAGTCTTCTTAAAATCACATCCCCTACCCACTTCCAGTCCCCGGCTCGAGTGGCCTGGCAGCTCCCAGGTTTGGGGGCTTGAACCCTGGGCTCTGCCGGTTTTGCCAAGGGGCCACATCCTGTAGGTGACTCAGCAGCAGGTGATTGCAGTGTCTGGCCTGTAGAGGGCGCCACGTGCACACCTAGTGACGCACGGCCACCGTGCTCCGTCCTGCACGACTGGGGGGGGTCCTTGCTGCGTCCTTGCCTGGCCTGAGCTGCCCCCTCTCCCTGCAGTGCTGAGCCAGGACATCCCGCACATCTTTGCGCTCACCCTCTTTGAGGACTACATCTACTGGACCGACTGGGAGACCAAGTCCATCAACCGAGCCCACAAGACCACCGGGGCCAACAAGTCCATGCTGATCAGCACGCTGCACCGGCCCATGGACATCCACATCTACCACGCCTACCGCCAGCCGGACGGTGAGCGGGAGGGAGCCCCGGGCGGGGGGGCCGTCACCAGGAGCTGGGTCAGCAAGGGCGGGGACCAAGGCACGAGGCTCCCTGATTTCACACCATCTCCCTGGGGGTTCTGAGGGGGGGTGGGAGCCCCGGGGGGACCAAGGCACGAGGTTCCCTGATTTCACACTAGCTCCCTGGGGGTTCTGAGGGGGGGGCGGGGGCCCAGGGGGGACCAAGGCACGAGGCTCCCTGATTTCACACTAGCTCCCTGGGGGATGGGGGGGGTTGGGGCCCAGCTGGCACAGTGGGGGTGAGTGCCCCAGGCTTTGGCATCTGGATCCCGCCAGCGGCTCTAGTTAGAGACGCGTCCTCGTGCCCAGCTGCCCAAATGGGGGATGGCCGCTTGGGAAATGAGTCGCCAGGTCTCCGTCTAGTCCCTGTGGCCCCCAGCCCCACCTCCAGCGTCTGACCTGCCGGCCGGGCTCTCTCCAGCCCGCACACGCTCGCCTGCGGGTTCTGGAGTCCGATCGGGACCCGGCAGGTGGATCAGGATGCAGTGGGGATGGCTGGAAAGTTGCTCCCTGCCGGGTCTGCGCTCAGATCAGCACGGACCCTGCTGGCAAGACCGCTGCCCAGCTCCTCTTCCCATGGGACGCCCCGGGTTGCATGGGGCCGGGGCTCACCAAGGGGTCCAGGCCCTGTGCGGAGTGGGGCTGCGATGGGGGTGAAGGCGAGACAGTGGGGGAAGAATGTGTAGGGGTGAGGGGTGACACGCAACGAGGGAGGAGGA